TCAGCCTTCCTGCTCCTATGATGCTGCTTGGCCTGCTGTGTTCATCCAGCTCTACACCTTGTTATCTCAGATTCTCCAGCATCTGCAGTTCCTACTATCTCTTATGACGTGGATGTAGGTAGTTCGGACCCGAAAAAGCAAAACTCACATCAATTAAAACCTGAGAAACAGGCCAAAGTAACAGGGGAAAGGCAATACATGTTGGAGAATCGATTGATCAAATCAAGTCAGAGTAATTGAAGTTCTGTAGTATTGGTTCCTAAACCAGAAGGTTCAATTAGTCACAAGGATAGATCCATACCCTACTCCCAGCCTAGAAGATTGTATTGATAGTGCGTTACTGTTATCTAAAATTATTCTGTTAAAAAGATATTGGCAAGTACCGCTAACAATAAGAATGAAGGAAATATCTGCATTTGTCACACCTAATGGCTTGCGGAAAGCTGAGATATTCCATTTGGATTTTAAGAACATCCTAAACACATTTCAATGATGGAAAAGAAAGCATTGGTAGTGTTAAAAGCAGTTCAAGTTTATTTTCAAAATAAAGGTTTTGAAACTGTTGTTTTTACTGACCACGATCCATTAACATTTGTCGAACACTTTAAAAATAAGACCCCAAGGTGTTCAGATGGAGTTTACATCTGCAGCCATTTAACATAAAAACTGTACAGATTTCCAAAAAAGATGTAACTGCTGATACCCTATCCCAAATGTAAACTGTCATAAATTTAAAAATGTGACCAAGTAAGCTGAATAATGAATAAGAATCTGATGGCAGGAAGAATTATTGTCCATGAGTTTTCTGTTTTGTTTATTGCTTAAGTATTACTAACCCTTGTCATTAAATGCATTCTCATAAAAACGCCATTTCATGCTTTCAGGGTAGAGGCATTTTAGAACTTCACGGATTTTTCATTATTGTTATTTTTATTCTTTAATCAATTTTGGTTTGGATCTGTGAACCAGGAATTGTGGGCTGAATATGAGTTTTGGACTATGTGAAACAGCTTGTGGTAAAAGGAAAAGCACAGATCAAACAAAATTGTTTCTTTGTGAGGCCAGGCCTGGAGATTAACTGCAGGCTTATTCTTGACTAAAAGGGTTCCTACAGATTCAGCAACCCTGAAAAGAACATTATGTTTAAATAGATATCAGAAGTTGGCTATTAGCAAGGTCTGTACCTGGGAATTGGTTCTGGCAAGTCTGGAAGATATCCTATATTCAAGCAGATGGCAGATGTCGAATGGTAACTGAGACCTCAGGAAAAGATGGTCAGTCTATCAGGACAAAACCATAGTTGAAGTTATTTTTGTGAACTGCATCTTCTAGGGAGATGAGTTTGGCTATTAATGAAATAGCGTACAGATTTGAAAGCTCACTGTCTAATCTACCTCACCAGCTTTTGGAAGCCAAAGAGTAGAACACTGACTTAGAAGTATTACTACCTGTACCTGAGTGAACTGAGAAGGTGACATTTCCAGAAACGCAACTAAAGATTTCACATCCAGGCTTGTGAAACAATGCATCATGAAAACCATTTAAATAATCTGGTCGGTTTTGTCATTTTGTTTTATTTATCCCCTAATTGTGTTTATTTCTTTGTGTGTCTTTTGTGTGAAGGGGGCTGAAAACAAATGTTTTGCGTTTAAAGCATAGACATCAATTAGATACCTTGTTATCTAACTTTTCTCTGGCAAAGCTAATGCGATTTTTTAAAAAAAAGTCTTTTGTTTAAGGTATGCTGACTGGAATTAATTATCCACAAAGTCTGGGATTGATTATTCAAAAGTCTGGTTAGGAACCATGGGACTATCTATTGGGGGTCTTCGATGGTTTAAATTTTACTGTGGTGTGAATCCAGAGATAGAAAAGCTGACTTTTTTGAGTTCTGTCCTGTGTCGTAACATCAGTAATAATATTCCAAAAATACAAAATGACCATGAGGCAAAAGATGAGAGGAAATAATTACAATAACTATCACTAAAGCGAAAGTACTAGGAATGTTAATTGGGCTAAAAGCTGATAAGTCCCCTGGACCTGATGGGATGCATCCTCAGATTTTACTGTAAGTAGCTACAGAGGTATGGATTTAGTGATGGTAGCCTTCCAAGAATCCTTCGATTCTGGAAAACTGTTGGAAGTTTGGAAAACTGCCCTCGCTTGTTCGGAAAACTGCTTATTTGAAATTTGAAAACTGTTTGTTCAAAAAGGGAAGGAGACAATGGACAGATAACCACAGGTCGGTTAGCTTAACATTTATTATAGGGAAAACATTAAGAGTCTATTTTAAAAAGTACGATCGCACAGCATGTAAAACACATAATATAATCCGTTTGAGCCAGTGTGGCTTTGTGAAAGGAAAATCATGCCTGACAATTTTGTTAGAATCCTTTGAGGAGGTAAAGGATAGATAAAGAGGGATTAGTAGATTAGTATTTCCAGATGGGGTTTCATAAGGTACCTCATGTTAGGCTACTTAATAAGGCAAGAGCTCAAAGTTTCATAGTAATATATTAGCATGAATAGAAAATTTGCTAACTAATAGAAGACAGAGTTGGAATAAGAAGGAACATTTTCAGGATGGCAATCTATAACTAATGAGTGCTACAGAAATCATGCTGAGACCACAATACATATTAAAAACTTGAATGAGGGAAGTGAATGTACTATCACCAAGTTTGCAGTTGACACAAAATAGTGGGAAGGCAAGTAACAAGGATGATAGAAAAAATCATGCCAAGGAACATTGGTTAAACAAGGGGCAAAAACTTAGCAGATGGCATGTAATGTACCAGTCTTCAGCCAATTCGATCCACTCCACGTGATATCAAGAAACAGTTGGAGGCACTGGATACTGCAATAGCCCAGAAGACTTGTGCTCAGAACTTGCTGCTCCCCTAGCCAAGCTGTTCCAGTACAGTTACAACACTGGCATTTACACAACAATATGGAAAATCGCACAAGTATCGATATAAAAAGCAGGACAAATCTAACCCAGCCAATTACTGCCCCATCACGCCATTGTTGATCATCAGTAAAGTGATAGAAGGTGACATCAACAGTGCTATCAAGCAACATCTGCTCAGCGATGTCCAGTTTGGGTTCCACCAGGGCCACTCAGCTCCTGACCTCATTACAGGCTTTGTTCAAACAAGGACAAAAGACCTGAATTCCAGAGGTGAGGTGAGAGTGACAGCCCTTGACATCAAGGAGCCTCAGCAAAATGGGAATCAATGGGTATCAGGGGGCAAAATCTCCAATGGTTAGAGTCATACCTGACACATAGGAAGATGGTTGTGGTTGTTG